GCCTCACTCCTGTTCAAAGGCTTGGCCACCAAGCCCACAACTGTAAAATGGACTATTAATAAAGAGGTCTGAGGAGTGATCGAACAGATTCATTGTTGCCGTGCGTCTGTTCAGTACCAGATCCGAGGTGACTTGATTAAGAGCAAAATAGTGGCACACGAGGCGTAGCTGAGTGTGTCACTGATATTACTGATATTCTTACCACCTTTTGACTTCTCATGCGATCGATAACAGTACGGACCCACGGCAAAATGGAATCTGTTTATTTTATACGATACTGAAAAAAGCAAAGGGGACAGGGAGTTGTTTTTCAGTTTAAGTACACGCTTGGCTGGGTCTCACTATAGTAATTATATATAATTAATCAATGTATAGATTTAACTATAAATACTGTAGATTTTACCAAGCATTTCTCAATTCTGATGGATATACCATTCTTAGTTCAGAAGTGAAGCAAGCTGACTCTCCCTCGTTTTTGTGTTTAGGAGATACCAATATTTACACCATTGACGTTGTTTGGTCTGAGATTCAATTTGCTGTAAGTGGAAAAGTTTTATACTGAAGATGTAGGATGAAAATGCGTTAGGTTTTTGTTGTATTTGCTTTCCTTGACTGTGCAATTTACTTTCAGATCCAAGTATTGCTTAGTGACTACCTAGATGTTCAAAACACTGCAACACAGCAAACCTCAGTGACCTTTTCTGAGTCATCAAGGTAATTTTGTTATCTTCATACTTCATACATGATAGTGTCAGGGCGCATATGTCTTAACGCGGTGGAAACAAAATCTAAAAGCGCTCACTTCACACCTCTGTGGCCTGGGTTCGATTCCTGGACCTTGAGTCACATGTGGGTTGAGTTTGTTGTTGGTTGTTGTCCTTGCTCCGAGGGGTTTCTCTCCCAGTCCTCCGTTTCTCCTCTCTCCGAAAACACCAACATTCCAAACTCCAGTGCGACCGGAAACAGTGAATCGGAAGAGTCACCGTGTGGAATGTCCACGGCTAAATTGGTATAATTATTTTCATCAAAAAGTATTCTTATTATTTATTATTACGAAGGAAAATGACGCAAGGAGCCGTCGAAAACTTTTAAAATGTGAGAAAACTCGTATATGGTTTGAGTTTCCTTCTGAGCCGTTTGAAGGGTAGTTTAAGTTTTCGACGTTAACCACAGGGGGACGGAAAAAACAGTGCAATTTTGTCATGTATCCTTTTTGACACTTGTATT